TATGCAGAAAATTCATAATCAGCCTTTGTCGATCCGCTGATGGTTGAAAAACTTTCCAAGATTTGACCACAGATGTCTATTTTCTGCCGTTTTCACCCATGCTTGTGTATCGAACTTCTTCAGCTCATCCCGTCATCGAACTGGAGGTCTTCCTATGGGCTTGGAACCCAACCTGATGTACCTGTGGTCCAGCGATGGTGGGTTCTTCATCCAACTTGTTTTATCTACTGTTACTCTAACTTCTTCACACAGGCAAAGACATCGCAGACTCCTGCATGTGCTCTAACCCATTCATTCGTCTTTCTATTTCCACAACATACATATTTTCATGATGAGTTGCGTGGTCTGCAGGTTATGAATTGGTCATTTTTATTCCGCTAGTTTCCCACAGTCGATTATCAAACGCAGAGATGATCTGCCGTATCAGACTAAGTGTAAGTTTTGCACCTCTTAAAGATTAAGTTCTTTGACTTCAAGAGATTGCGCGGTCACGTGTTAGTTCAACATCAACTGAGTATTTTTCAGGTTCATTTTCTGACGGCGATGTCGTTCGACTTCGACTATTGGATTCTCCTTTGAAGTTCTTCCAGCGACCATGCGAGGATCAGAATATAGTCCACAAACCGCAGTTGGCTAAAATGGTGCGCCCATTTACGTTCAATCCATGATTTTACTAACGGAATGTCTTGAGAACTTCGTGCAAGGAATAACTTCGATGATACTGCGTCTTTTTGTCTGATGTCCTTTTCAATGTGGAATCTGTTTGTTTTAGAGCATGCTTCACATCAACAGTTGGATCATGTCGATTAGGCCTTTGTGTCTTTACTCGATCTCCTGGCTCCTCGAGGAATTCAGTCAGAGAAACACTCACACTAATTTAACTTTTTAAATTTACGGGTATACAGTTAATATGCATGTTTTATGATCATGAGACGCAAAAGCCGCATCGACATGTTGAAGCCGTTTGGCTATACAAAAGCGTTGTTAACATCGCATAAACTTTTATCGAACTCGGTCCGTCTCCAGTATCACAAACAGTCATACGTAAAAAGATTCTATATTAATTGTGAACACAGCACTTCTCTCCAATTCTACCGTTCCGTCGGCATGATGTATCGCTGTGATACGTGGTCATTCATTAAGTGCAAAGGACTTCGTCGTCGAAAGCAAAAGGAGAAGCCACAGTGGGTGAGATACGCTCAGATTACTGATGGGTGATGGTCGACGAAGATCATCTTGCTGGCAGGTTTTATCACATGTTCTCTCACCACGACGGTGGAAAAATTATACCATGACCCGGAACCTGGAAAGCCTCAATACCGCAGGAATGCGGGCATGTTGCCACCGGCGCCATTCTTCACCGATTACCGCCAGGTCCAAGTTTTATAGCTTGGCCCTTAAAACGGACCAAACTGCACCGAAAACGTCAGATAATTTTTTAAAAATCAAAATACTCAGAGTATGTATATATATAGCGACACATGGACCAAAAATATCAAACGGCCGCATATGACTAATGAAAAATGCCGCAACATCAATCACGAGAGTCAGACTGATGACCCGCATGAAAATTCCACTGTACAAATCACACTGGACTGAAGAGAGACCGAGTTCGGTTCGGATCGAAATGTTAGATCTCTACAGAATAATTAATATTAAACAGTTTACGCGTTGTTATCGCATTTATGACATTCAATAACATAACATAAAAACATAACAAATATGTTTTATAATAACCTTTCGTTGAACGCATGCAAAAGTTTGAAGAAGGTATGACGTGAGGCTGACAATCTGTTCTTTCGCAGCATCGAAATACGGGTTTAATCTCACTGCCTCATTAAATGATTCCAAAGCCGCTTGATAGGCTTCCTTATAGCGTAGAATCTATAAACGTAAAAGCGGTCAGTGTATGAAGGCGCATTGGAGTCGAGTTCCTACGCATCCACGATTATGGTACAGGTAGGCGTTCGTCTGCTGAGATCGATGAGTCAACTAAAAATAGGTTGTTCAAATAAAAGAATCAAAAAACAGACAACTGAAAAACTGAAAGATAAACAATTTTGGAATAGCATAATTCATTCGTTGAATTTTAAAACCCGCAATTCTCTCTAGGTCGCCGGGGCAGCTACTTCAGGAGGTCATTCAATGATTCCGATCCGCTGCCAAATCGATAAGTTCCGTGGTCCAGATTCCAAGACACAACGAAGCCAGGTCTTCTATGTAAATGAGTCATTTAGTTTGCTATTTGTTCCGGAGCTATCTGCTCCGTGGCTTTTACAGGAATACGCCCGGTGAGTCTATCCCCTATCCAGCGACATCCACATGACATTTACAACAGAGCCCTCCAAATTATATGTAACAGACGATGCTTAATTCAGTCTAATTGAAAAGATTTAATGCAACTGTATACGAAGGGAGTAACCTGCAGCGCATAGACGCATAGTGATGCGT